ACTTCGGCTCAGATCATGATCTCACAGCCCGTGAGTTCGAGCCCCGCGTCGGGCTCTGTGCTGACCGCTCAAAGCCTGCAGCCTGTTTCAGATTCTGTGTCTCCCTCTCTCTTGGCCCCTCCCCTGTTCATGCTCTGTCTCTCTGTGTCTCAAAAATAAATAAACGTTGAAAAAAAATTAAAAAAAAAAGAAAAGAAACAAAAATAATAGAAAAAGAAGAAAAAGCAAAAACAAAACAAAACAAAAAAAAATGAAGATGAAAAGCAGGAAGAAAAGGGTCTCAGGCCTTACTATACGCTGAATAGCTGAAGAAAAGACAATGTTACCCTGTGATCTTGAGCTTACCCTCCCCTAGCAGTGATTCCCTGAAAACTTATAAAGATGAAATTTCAGATTTTTTTTTTTTTTTTTACCAGGCAACATTGCTTATAGCAAATATAATTTGAGACTGGTGAACTACAGCCAGGCTGGAATAAGTGTTAATGAACTATAAATGCTAGACCTTTCCTTCAGTGAAATTTAACTTGAAACTAGGTGTTGCCCTAGCTGAAACCTAGGAAGCTAACATCAGTTGTTACTAAAGATACTAGTTCCTATTTATAGTTTGAGACTTTTAGAAGGATAGCTCACCCACCACCTTCTCTGACCTCCTTCCCTCACCCTTTAGAAGCCAAGGTAGGGGAGAAAAAGGGGGGGGGGCGGGGGAAGGCAGTCCTTATAACTAATATGACATTGTGAGCTCAAGAGCTAAAGCGGAAGAGACATGACCATCACCGTCTTTTTTCCTGTCCTGTAGTCTTTTACAATGTTGCACAAACTAGTGCCACAGGCATCTTCTAGTCTTCTGAGTTTATGATATCTATCTGAAGCTAAAATTACTGGTTGTGGACTTGCCAAAAAAAAAAAATGCAGGGTAATTCCCCAAACTCAAAAGGCATTTATGAAATTGCAGTCATATTATGAATCTAAAGCTAGGAGACTGGCCAAGGCCAAGGCTAAGACTCTCTCCTGGGCCCAGACTGCCAGATCATTACATAGCCCCATACCATCTGGAATGACGAACAATGCTGCTGTTTGGGGTCACAAGCCTCATAGTACTATTTAACTCTTTTAACTGTGTAATTATTCTTACTATTCAGATACCATGAAATACTAGCAACCACCTTACCCAACAAACTTTATGTCAATGAAATGTCCTTGAGTTATGCAATGCACAACCCAGGAAACCTTACTGTTAGCCTAGATAGTGAATGAGGCAGACAGACACTTCTCATTTAATATAAGTCTTCCTAACAAATTTTCAGTTCTGAAAAATCTTAAATTAACTAAGGGGGCCGGGGGCGGGGGAAGTGCAGAAAGGGTTTCTGGAAAAAATAGCACAAGGAGCAGAAAAGACAAGACCATTCTACTTCATAATTACAGCCTCCATAGAGATTTTAAAATGCATAGAAATTAAAGAGCGGAAATGCTGGGAATGCACTAATTGGAGAAGGAATGATAGATACAACTGGGAAAGGAGCTCTGCACTGCAAAGCTGTCATTGAACTTGGCCCAGGAGGAAGTGCACCTGCCCGTGGAACCTCCATGTGAAGTCAGAGCCGGGAGTGGGTGTTCATTTTTCAATTTTCCTAAAAGAGTATCCTAAAAGAGAGCCTAAGGGTAATAACTTTGGGAGCTTAAAAGCTGTAGAACTAAACTGTAGACAAGAATAAATTATACTGAAATGAAAAGGTTCAATAGGTAAAGTGTGCTGAATGTGTGTTTTGTTTTAAACCAAGGACAGAAATTAGAGACCTTACACTGAGTTAACTTACACTTAATTATGTATATTTAAAAAAAGTAATGGTATTTAATTAAAGCTATATACAACTACATTTTATAGGTTTTAGAACTAAGAAGAGGGAGAAAAGGATAACGTGTACCAATTATAGGAGATTATAGGAGTAAATTAAAAGTAGCAAAAATAAAAATAAAACAATTGGCCAACAGCAGTAACAAAACAAGCTTGTCAAAAGAACTCAAATATAAAGGTAATATACATAAATTAAAAACATTTAACTCTTTCATAGTATCAGATTGAATTTTTTAAGGAAAATCTAACAATATGCTAGTTGTAAGACAAATATCTAAGGCAAACTATCCTGACAAGCACATGTTAAAGTATGAACAAGATATGCCATGCAAATACTACCAAAAAAGAAGGATGTAGCAATATGATTCATTTTAGCTTAAGACAAAAACCTTAATTCAGAGGAATAGAGTATAGTAAAAAAAAAAAAAAAAGAAAGAAAGAAAATTATAATCATAACCTTATTACTAAGAACAATTATTTGAATACACAAAGGAAAAAAAAAATTCCTGACCCAATTATGAGAACACAGTTTCCAAATCCACAAATGTATATGTTTTACTGCACTTCTCTTAGAAACTAGTGTATCAGTGAAGCATATTAAAAAGCAAAACAAAGTTGTAATACCTTCTGCTTCCAGTGCAGCAGCTAAATTAAGAGGTTTTTCCTCTCCTTCCTCTCCTTATTATTTTATTCCCGTCTTTCTGGCTGTTCTTATCTAGAAAAAGTTGTATATGAGTTGATGCCACTTCCAAATTATATGGACCTAACTCCCTTATCTACCACTTACACAGAAGCTATTTTTTTTTTTTTTACAGAAACATGTATTATAGCAAAACTGCATAGTGAACTAAAAAACAAAGCACAATAGTTTCAGTTCTCACCAAGACATGAAATGTCAGTCAAGGACTGGAGGATTTTCACTCCAGCTAAAGATCTATTAGACACAAGACACCCTAGTTCCTTGGAAAGAAAAAAGAAACGGAACGCCAAGAA